ATATATTTTACTATGATGTGGATATATCTAATTTTTCATGCACCAATATATTTGCTTCTATTTTGGGTCTACTTTTAAACAAAAAAAGATTTGAAAAGGAAACCGATATGGCTACAGAGAAAAGGTAATTTTACTAAAACAATGTCCTTTTTGGAATTGTGCATATAAAAGGAATTTTGGTTTTTTTCGTTTTGGACAATGGAGTGATATATATATAGAGACTTGGTGGTAAAGTTGATACTTGAAATGAGTCCTTTGAAGAATTAGATACTTTCATTAGTACAAATGATGACCAAATGTATGTGCACTTCCAAGATAATAAAGTTTTTAGTACAAATGATGACCAAATATATGTGTACTTGGCGTCAAGCAAGAACAAGGATCAAGAAAGACCGGTACCACATTGAATGGCTTGAAGTATGGAATCTATCTCACATAACCTGGTTAGGTATTATAGGAAAGAGGATTTCAATAACTTATATATATTTTTAAGTCATCTCAATTTCATATTTTCATACCTTGCCTTTAGGTAATATGGGAAAGAGGATTTCAGTAACCTATATATTTTTTTAGGTCATTGAATTTTATACTTTCATCTCTTGCCTTTTGGCAATATAGGAAAGAGTATTTCAATAACTTATTTTTTAAAGGTCATTTTGAAATTTATACTTTGATACTTGCATCAGGTTATCTCCAAAACTCACACTCCACAACGCGTTTCCCCCTTTTTGACGAATAAGAGATTCTATAAAATGACAAGCAATCGAGAATAGCAAATTCCATTTTTGAAACCATTTATATATATTTTTAAATGATAAGCAGCTATCCGACGGCCTAGATGTATGTTCGTACCCAGTAATTTTTTAATAACTAGAGAATAATTGATTGCCATTTTTGTTTTCCTTTCTCGAGCAATGGGAGTGTAAGCAAGGAGGTAGTAGCCCTGTCTGAAGAGGGCAATGAAGGGAGTGTAAGCAAGGAGGTAGTAGCCCTGTCTGAAGAGGGCTTTAGAACCTAAAAGCTCTTGTTTAAGAGATGGATCTGGATTTTCTAAGTCTTGTTTGAGAGGTGGATGGGTTTGCTAAGTCTTGTTTGAGTTTGCTAAGTCTTACACTATGGCAACGGGCGCTTTGATGCGCTAGCAGTGGTATCAATGTAAAAGCACTTTGAAGAGTAAGGTCAAACTATGGCTGGGTGAAAAAAACAGTAAAATAGAGAGATCTGATAAAGAAAAAAAAACATGAAAATAGAGAAATCTGATATAAAAAAAAAAAAGGGAAATAGAGAGATCTGATAAAGACTAAGTCAAGATATAGAGAAAATGAATATTAGGGTGAAGATATTTCATACATTCCTCTTTTAGATTAAACATTATAATTAAAATGAATATCCCCTCAATTTTCAATACTCTATTCCCATTAAATATTGTGTAAAATATTATCTTTATGCAAATTAATTTCAATTAATCTTTTATACTTTCTTATTTGAAATCAATCAAAATTTCTATGGAACACTCTCCAAAAATTTTAAACAAAAGTGTATTACTAGAATAGGAAAAAGAGTGTAAAATATCATCTTGCAAATTAATTTCAAATAATCTTTTACATTTTCGTATTTGAAATCAATTAAAATCTTTACCGAACTCCTTCCAAAAACTTCAAATGAAGGTGCATGACTTCTTTCCAAAGACTTCAAATGAAGGTGCATGACTTCTTTCACAAACCACTAGAATAGGAAAAAGAGGGGGAAGTGGAGCGTCCTACTCATGTGAGATCCTTGTGGGCCCACTTCCCCACTGGTGGGTCCAAAATGATCCCAATAGGGCCCAAGCTTTAATTTATATTTTAAAACATTAAAATGAATTTTACAAAACCATTAGTATTTTAGCTTCTTCTCTTATTAAAATAAATTTAAAAAATTGATTTCCCTATTTAAAAATTATTATCAATAAAATAAAATATCAAGAGATGTCTAAAATTTCATTTTAAATTATCTAAAATATAATTGAATATATTCAAGAATATTTGTTGGAAATTGGATCCAGATAATTAGGAATATAACAAATATACTGAAGATTTCATCCTTTCTAGAAATTGTATTCTCACTTCATCTTTTTAAACTGGCCCAATATTTTTCATAACCCACAACCCTTCACAGGGAATTCATGATTAGACTATCAAAGTCAGCCAATAATGGTAGGAGACACAATCATATTGTATGAATTACAGGTTCCTCCGTGATGACAAGTCTAGACCCCATTCTAGCACTATGCTCCATGGGTCCCTCCAAACCATGTCCAGTGTTGCAGAGAGTCATATCTTTGGCATATGTACACAACACACCCTTATCCAAAAGGCCGCTTTCTAGACAGTTATCTAGTGTACATACCGTTTGATGGAAAAGATGAGGATTTTGGCCATTTTCCTCTCCGGTCAACTATTACACTCAGGGGGCATACCATGTTCTATGACCAACTATCCTAAGCACAACTCCGACCTCATCAATGGAATCAAAACTCTTAAGCACAACTTCGACCTCATCAATGGAATCAAAACTCTTATCGATTGTGCTAAAAATTGCCCCATGCTATAGGTTTTAGGCATCACCTTGAGCTATAAACAATCAAAGCTCAAGTAAATATCAGCATTAGTAATGCCTCACAGTCCAATGTAGACCACGTTCCTACTGAAGCCAACATTTCACTGCAATAATTTTAGTACATACTCTCATAAGGCATTTAAATGACCACATAACCCCAACATTGTCCTAAATAATATTAAAATATGCTGTCAACCTTTATATTTAAGTAAATAGCAAGGATGGCTTGAATCACAATGTCACATATTAGCTCTTAAGCGTCGGATCTTCATCTGATTGCTCAAAGTATTTTATTTTAAATTTTTATTCTATAAATCATTTTACAAAAAAATTTGAAGAAAGCATATGTCTTACAAGCACATGATAAAAATAACAAAATATACTTCCTGTTTATGAAAATTTAATAGAACACGTCTAATACTTTTAGTGGCATTTTGATCATTTATTTCATGAGGATTTTTTTTTTTTTTTTTTGCTAGATGCGCCCCAATAAGAACATGAGGTGCCTAAAATTTTACTCAAAAAAATTTTGTAAATAAAAATCACAGATTAGATGGTGTGAAATTTTGAGTCACATGAGCAATACCGTACATTCAAGTCAAACAGTTGAGCAGTGAGGTCACATAGAAAGCTTTACCTTTTTCTCATATCTCAAGGTTTTACTTATATTTCAAACTTATTAACGATTTTTGGGATCTATCAGGCTGAATAAAAAAGCAGTTTTTACAAGTAAAGGTATAGTTTATATGAGGAAAAAAAAATTTATATAAGGTTGTAACCTTAAACCGTAGAATTAAGGTGCATCTCAAAAATCTATTGGAAGAGGCTATTTTGATGTAAGGAGACCATTTAATTGATCATCTCGACATCAAGATGTATGGATATGAAAAGACTAAAAAAAAAAAGATTTCGAGTTACCCTATATATTATCAAGGGAAAAACTGAAGCTTTAAACAATCAAATTCGAGCCTACCGCACAAATTTCACTAGAAGTGATTGTTTTGATGCCCAAATATCCTCAAATTCATCATCTCTACATCAAGATGCATGGACATGAGAATAAAATGGATTTCAAGTTTTGAAAATAATGTATTTTGTAAGACACTTTTTTTAGAGCCTAGACTCTATACAAAGCGCACCCAATTATCAATGCTAAGTGGTTTACCACGCCAACTTTAAGGTTCACATGCATTGTTGCTAGAATCACATGGGTGCTTCAATTATTATTATTTTTTTCATTTCATTCTGAAATTTTCATACTCCTATTACATTTTCATCGTACTTTCATATTTCCAATGGTTCTAGTAAATGAATGCTTCGTTAAAAACTACATTATGTCTCTGTAATACAAGTATTCGCTTGAGTCACCACTTGCTGAAAAATCCAACATCTTGTCGCTTGGATTTGATGGTGAGCCAGGCTTTCGAAAAATGTCGGGCGACACCTCAAAAATCAGCCTACAAATATTATTTTGGTACCAGTAAGCTTTCGAATTGATCATATCGACTCAACGATTATGAATGTGAAAAATAGATTTCAAGTTTTAATGCATTTTGTTGCATATTCTTATCGACCTCAACGATTATGAATGTGAAAAATAGATTTCAAGTTTTAATGCATTTTGTTGCATATTCTTAATGCTTCTCTGAAGTATTAATTTTCATGCACAGTGTTCGTCAACCTAGCCAGACTGAATCGGAACCATCCGGGTTACCCAGAATTGGCCCTGGCCAGTCCAGATTTAGCCAGTTTTTTGTAGACAAGTTCCAAGATGTTAAAAAAAATTCTAAAACAATTATTAATAAATCTAAAAAAACAAGAAACTTACATTTAATGTTTTCTATCATTTTAGCAAAGATTGAAAAAGTATTTGGGCCATGAATACTAACTTTTACATTTTTTTCTTTTTTGGGTTATTTCAATGTACCCCAAGATTATTTAAAAAATACCCCCTTCACAAATTGCTTTTTTCAAAATCTATTTTTTCACTACTTGTTAAGTTTATTTAGATGTGCTTTGTTTAAGCTTACTCTAAATATAATTTTTATATTTTCTAGACTTATTTGTTATTTTAAATTTTTACTCATTTTTGGCTGAGCCAAGACCTGCCCAGTTATTTTGAATTACCAAAACCCATTCTGGGTTATTCGGATCGGCCCATATCCGGAGTCTAAGTCCAGTTCGTGTAATCGAACCTTTTTTTAAGCAAATCATAAATCTACTTGATCTAGAGCATTTTTTTAAACCTTTTAATTTTATAACTAGAGATGAATATATTTTTAAGACATCGTATAGGTATTTTAGGGAAAAAAAAATATTTTTTAATAAAATTTTCATATGTCGCCCTATTTTAATATAGGGATTGTATACAACGATACCATTTACTTTTTAATATAAAGATGTCATATTTTAATACTGCTTCATAAAACACAAAGAACTCAATACAATTAGCACCATGATCGATTACATGGTTAAGCATAGCATAAGCCTGTCTCTATCAGCCATAGAAGCACAAATTTCTCTCATCCTCTGAAAAACAATCAATAAGTGGGAATCAAAACAATCAATGATGGGAAAATAAGAAGAAAAAACCCAAATAGGAATCTTATTGAAATTTGAAACTAAGGTTCCCAGTTCTTTTTCGTCGAGGAAGCCCAAACCGATCTAGAAATCATCGTCATCATCATCCAATTTGTATTCCTTGAGGACTTCTGCACAAACTGGAAGTGGATCTTTCTTCAAAAAGGCAAGAGGATTTGCAAAACGCTTATCTGAGATGATTCCGTTGTTGGTTGTTAGGAGGATTCTTGCTCGGTTTCTTCCATGGAAGATCTCGTTGCAGTTGGGGTCGGTGCTGTTAATGGCCATCACTTCACAGATTTCATTCTCGTGGTCGCCTTCGACTGGGATTTGGTAGGTTCCGGTCCTGTCTGTTACACCTTCGATGCTGTAGATGAGGTGCCCACCTTCCCGATCCTTGCATTCAACCCTCACTCTAGCCTCTGCAAAACCGAAAAAACTGTTTAAATTAAGGAGAACATTTATGTAAGGTCGTCGTAATTGTAGAATTAAAGTGTACCTCGAAAACAAAAAAAATTCCTGTTATTTTGAATTTGAAAAGCAGTCAAAATTGATAATGTTGACGTTGAGTCGTATGGATAAAAAAACAATCAATTAATTTAAAAAAATATATATTTTACAGCAAATTATTTGAACCGTCTATTCTCAAGATTTTAATACGTCGAACAAAATTAAATTCGAACAAAATTAAATTACCTGGTACGTATTCTGTAACCCTAGTTTCAAACCCAGCTCGGCAATTGTCACAATAAACCTTGCCTTCCACGAAGAAGTAGGAGGAGTCCGCATGGCTCACCCCCAAAAGGCATGAAACGAAGCAGAATACCAAAATAGCTCCACACTTTGCCATGTTTCTCTCTCTAATAACCAGAGAAGATGTTTCTCTCTCTAATAACCAGAGACAAAGAAAGAGAGGGTGAGAGGCCTTTATAGGAAGGGGGGTACAGTTATTTCGGTTGAGGAGAGAGGAGTTCCATATTTTTAGCCTTTTTGAATAAGTGATAGGAGAGAAATGGGACATGTAAGAAAATCCGGGTTTTTAGAATTTTAGAGAGAGTGAGAGAGGGGGGGTGGGGGGGGGGGGAGATTTGTGTTTTTTAGAGAGAGAGAGAGAAGGAAGGAGATTGTTGGGTTTGACGAGTTCTTCTTGTCTGGTACTAGGAAACGTAAAAACCTCTCCTTCTCTCTCTCTCTTTCCCGTTTTTAGCCATATATGAAAAACCCACAAATCCTATTTTCTCTCTTAGCCGTTTGTAGCTACAAATAGAGCCTACAAACCAGCAATCAAAAACCCATAAAGAGATATGGAAAACAGTAATGAAAAATCCGCAAAGAGAAAGGAAAACCCTTATTTTGGTGTCCGTCTAGAACTCATTTTCAGAGAGAGAAACAGAGACAGAGACAGAGACTCTGGACGATAGAAGGCGTACCCTTCCCACCTGTCACAATAGCGCACAGGGGATAAAAACTTGTAGAGAGAGAAAGTGAAGAACAGCTCATTTTCGCACCCCGACGAAACCACCATTCCTTACCTCGACTAAATAGGTGCAGGAGAGAGAGAACAACAGGGTTGGAGAGAGAGAGAGAGGAGCAGGGTGTGGAGAGAATATGAAAGGACCAAAAAGCCTTTTTTATAAGAAAGGAAAACTATATACTCCGCTCTTCTGTATTTGAAATAGGAAAAGTTTATATACACCTCAACTTCTAAACCATCAAATTAGAGTCCACTTTATAAATTTTATTAAAAGCGGCTGTTTTGATGCTCAAATATACTCGAATTGATCATCTCACCATAAAGTTGAATGGACATAACAAAAAAAATAAATTTCAAGTTTTAAAAATAGTGCATGTTGGAATGTATTTTTTGACCATCAATTTTCAAGATTTTCAAGTTTTCATAAATTTGCTCGATCTACATTATTTTTTAAGCTGTAAATTTTCTAATTAAAGGTGAAAATATATTTAAATCTATCACAAATTTCTAATATTGAAACCATATTTCTTGACGTTATTTGAAAGCAGGCTTTACTTTGATTGTTTAGAGCCTCAGCCCTATACAAACGGCACTCACTTAAAATACACGAGATCATTTTACATCGGGTGTGGTTTCTACAAGGTTGCAACCTTAAACAATCCATTTAAGACGCACCTCAATTTTATGATAACATGTAATTTTGGTGTTAAAAATTCTAGAGAAATTATCCCGTCCCCCACCTATGTGTATAGGACTTTAAAGTATCACCATTAAATTTGGTACGGATCTATAAAAAAAGTCAAGTATCATATCCATATGATAACTTTTCTTGATATTCACGTCAACTTTAATGGTGATTCTTTCGTGTCCTACTCGTATGAATGGGGGAAGATCCTATAAGATCATTATTCAAAATTCTAATGATAATTTAAAAATCTATTTTCACATGTAACCATAAATTTTTAAATTCCAAAAATGGTTAAAATCAAGTAAATCAATAAATATATGAAAATCTTAAAAATGGACGGTCTAATGTGTTGCAAGATACACTATTTATGGGACTCAAAATCTTTTTTTTGTTAATATTCATAAATATCGATGTCGAGATGATCAATTAGAAGATTTTTCAACATTAAAATAACTTTTTTCGATAGATTTAGTTCACCTTTAATTCTACAATTTAAAGTTCCAAACTTATATAAACTTTTTCCCTCCCATTTTATTTAGGAAAAATTATAGCAAAATGTACAGAAGGAATGACCAATATATCAAACAACTTACCCAGTTTTTAACAAGGAATAACTAATATACCCTTCTATTTCTTAGGGTTAGCCTCGTGGCACATGGCACCCATGTCAAAAATGTTACATTTCCTATCATATAAATAAGAAAAATGCTGAGTTTAGCCCACTAGCTCATATGAACATATGAGTTCATATAAGCTTAATGGTTCAAATTGAATCTGGACCGATCTGATGGTCACGACCTCATTTCGTATTTTAATATTAAATTTTTTTTTTATAAATCCAAATAAGTTAAAATTTTAAGCTTGTGTTCTTCAAAAATAGGATAATTTAATAAAAATATTAAAAAAAATAATTTATAAAAATTAAATAGACCAAAATACCCTTGAAATGTTTTGAGGGTATTTTGGTCAATCTATTTTTTGCATATTATTTTTCAAATATTATTATTAAATGTGTCTTGATGAGAATAATGAACGCCTAAAATTTCAAGTTATTTAGATTTATATAAAAAATTTAAAATTTAAAAACAAAATGAAATTGTGACGATCAGATCAGCTCAGATTCAATATGGATCGTTTGGCTCATATGTTCAAATAAGCTAATAGGCTAATCCTAAAATTTTTCTTCAAATAAGCTAATAGGCTAATCCTAAAAATTTTCTGTAAATAATATAAAGCATATGCAATGTGGGTGTTGGATGTGGGGTCACATTAATTAAAAACTATCATTCAATAATAAGCAAAATGCTCCTTATTATTCTTATTGTTTTAATAGTAACAAAATGCTTGATTAGATTGTGATATACATTTTTTTGTTCTTAGTATATTTATTTGCGTCAAATTTATTGTCAAAAAATTTATTTTTATTTGACATATTTTTATTCTTAGTCAATTTATAAAATATCCACATATAAAAGAAAATGGCTCATTATAACTATTAAAAAAAATAATAGACAAAGAAACGAGTACTTGTATAGTACAAGATAATTTTTTTATGGTATTAGAAGGTTAAATCGCTCTTAGAGATCAGATTTGAGATTAGGTTGTCATGGTTTGTTTACCAAAGCTCAAAAAAAACATACATACAGAAAGTTTACATTTTATTGCATTAAAAAAATGAAGAAAAAATTGAAAAATACATTTTATTGCATTAAAAAAATGAAGATAAAATTGAAAATATGAGTTTTGTATGCATCAAGAACCATGTTCGTCAAAATTCCTAACTTTTTCAAGCAAAACAATTAAAAAACAATACTCAAAAAACCCTATAATCAAGATGTATTTTGGCAAAATTGACCAGGAATCTTTGTGTAATCAAACAAATCAACCTAATGATCATTTGAAGAACTACATTTACTTCAAAAGGAACAAAATTTGACACAAAATGGTTTTAAATCGAGGCTAAAATCATCAGTTTGGTTGATTTTTCAAAACTCAGAGAAAAATGGCATGAATTTCCTTACCAAAAATTCATATAAATAAATACGAAGGATAAATCAAGATTTAGTTTGATTTGCTAACTGAAAGTATGGGGATCAAAATGCATACCTCAATTTAATCGAAATTGACCTGATTATCAATCGGGTAGTTCAAAATAGGATCACGGTCACGCTTTTCATGAACAAAGTTTAGAGCAAAATGGACTACTAATATTTGTGTAATCAAACAAATCAACCTAATGATCATGTGAAGAACTAGATTTGCTTCAAATTACACAAAATTTGACAAAATAGTTCTAAATTGTGGCTAAAATCATCAGTTTGGCGGATTTTTTTTATGACACCAAGAAAAATGCCCCAAAATTTGTCACAAAAAATTCAGATAATTTTTCCATTGTTAAATTATGGTTTTATAGCCAATATACTTTAATAACGCGCTAAAAATCTTTGAAAGAAAGCTTCAAAAACTGTGAAAAAAACATCTTTTGAAGAACCCTGTGAACAAAGCCCTCTATTATTAGCGCAATGCACAGACTCGGTGATTTGCTGTAGTGAATCGCCAATCCAAGAAGGGAAAAAAAAATATATGGATTATTCAGATCTTGATATATTCGGGGATCCGAATCGCCATCTTCAAAATCTGATCCAAATCGAGCTATTCTGATTTGGATAGCTGAAATTTAAAACCTTGATAGTCATAAAATAGTCTAATCATCCAATTTAATGTTAAAATAATTATTTTTTGAGTTGTTCAAAACTATCAAAATGCTCATATTCAATTTTTAGAAGACCAACAAAAGGGTAAGTTTAGTAAATTGAACCGACTTAAGTAATGTGAATACTCTTCTTCTTTGATTTTAGGTTTTTGAATAGGAAAAAATTTATATAAAGCCGAGGCTCTAAACAATCAAATTAGAACCCACCTCAAAAATTTCACTAGAAAGGGTTGTTTTTATGCCCAAATATCCTCAAATTGATCATCTCAATATCAAGATGTATGGACATCAGAAAAAAAATGGATTTCAAGTTTTAGAAATAGTGCATCTTGTAACATATTTTTGGACCGTCAATTTTCATGATTTTCAAGTTTTTCATAGATCTGCTTGTTCTACACTATTTTTGAAGCTTTAATTTTTATAATTAAAGATGAAAATATATTTTAAGGCTATCATAAAGATTTCCAATATTGAAACAACATTTCTCAATACTATTTGAAGGTAAGATTTATTTTCATTATTTAAGGGGCCTTGGCTCTATACAAATTGCAACCTTTTGAATATGGAACATGTTTTTTATATTAAAATAGGATACCCTTTGTGTGAGTCCATTTAAAAATGAGTCACCTCTTAAAAATCGTTTTTTGAGATGGATTTTTGGACCTAACCTTTTAGGACATGTAATGTTAGAGACCATGAATATGAATAAATAAATAAATTTGACCTAACCTTTTAGGACATGTAATGTTAGAGATCATGAATATGAAAAACTAAATAAATTTGATAATTAAAAATAATAATTCTATAAAGAAAAATTTTGGACCGATAGTTTCAAGAAAAATTGCATAAAACCCCCCGAAATGGACTTTCTAACCAATTTACCCTACTTAACTTTTCTTAGCAACTTCTTTCCTAAAAACCATGTTTCCTAGCAAATACCCCTATACAAAAACTTCTTCTTCTTTTATTTTTTTTATGAAAATACCCTTCTCGTATATAACAAATCATTTTCGGATCCCAGGAAACGTCGGACCGTACTTGTACAAT